TACACTGGGACTAGACTCACCAACTGCATTTATTGGTTGTGGTTTTCTATAGTGGTCTCTGTCTGATGCAAAGAGGTATTTCCTTGATGAGGGATGAGGACTACATTTATCTGTGGGTATAAGGACAGATATTTATAATGTAGTTAGGCAGTATGCTGGTTTAGGAAAGTGGTGGTTCTAGGTTTTCTCCAAGATCCATGACTTCACTAGTCATGAATAACTGGTTAATTTTCCACTACCAGGCATAACTTACCTTTTCTTGAACAGGAGATGTTGGTTATCATTCTATGTATATATATATATATATATATATATATATATATATATATATATATATATATGCTACTACTATATCATAGGGTTATTGTGCCATTCTGGTTGTTTTGGTTCATAGACAGCATAGCTGAATAGGACTGCTGGATGCTTTCCTCACTTGGAAGTTTGAGTGGTGCCTTACACACCATGAAAGCTAGTCCTCAGGGAGGGTTCATCCCAACCAGTTCCAGCTCAGGGCTCTCTATGACATGAAGTTCATGGTGTCTTTAGTAATAAGGACTTACCTTGTGAACCAAGGTCATTAACAGTAGTCTGTGGTTTTGTGAGTCACAGTGACAGCCCTGGCCAACAACTCAACACCAGGTTTTTCATACCTGGTGTTGAGTTTTTATGAGGTGGTCTTTCGGTTTTGGAGGGAGCATTATTATCCCTGATGAGAAATTTTCATTTAAATTGTATATGTATAATTTGATTCAGACTTATGTGTATTATATGGCTGTTTTTAAGTAGATAGTAAATAGTATGATTTTTTGTGACTTTTTCAGACATCCTTACTATTATTTTACACGTTTCTCTTTCTAAATATTTATCCCCTTCCCTCTCCAATTACAGACCACCTTTCCCATTTCCCTAGTCAGATCAATTGTACCTTGCTATTCCCCTTTCCATTGCTTCCCCAACACCAACCCCAGCTCGATTCATTTTTCCTTTCCTGGTTTCTGCAGTGACTCCAGAATATATACTCAAATCTCACGATTTGGAGCAAGGAGCCTCAGATAAGAGGGAACATGTCATATTTGTCTTTTGGGTCTGAGCTACCTCACTCAAGATCATCCTTTCTAGTTCATTTACCTGAAAAATTTCATGATTTTTTTTTATTAGGGCTGAATGATTTTTAAATTTAAACAAATATGAAGATCGTTCTGTTTGAATAATTATTGGTTCTATAGCAAAGTTCATTATTGTGTGTAACATTGTTTGTCTAAACAACTTAAGTTTATTGTTCATTAAAGTTTTCTGGAAACACAGTTTTACTAATTTCTTCTTGCTCTAGGAGTAGATACAAGTGAAAAACCAATGTAATCAACATACTTTTTCCAAATTTTCAGAAAAATGCCCAGCAACAAACCAATGGTCAGTGTTGGGGTGTGAATGAATTCCTGACAGGGGAGTATCTATCTCTAAGACATGACCTGCATAGAATTCTACACTAGGAATGCAGCACACTCCCAGCCATGGGAGAAGCTAAAGTGAAATCTTTAAGAAATGTTGTTATACCTTGTAATGTAGGTACAGATTAATGGCATCTGTGTAGTGCTGAAATTACTTATCAACTGGATAGACCATTTTATTAAAACTGATTTTAATCTACAAAATGGACATCACCAAGATTTTCTCCTTGACTTTTCATTATGAGAGTTACATTTTTTAGAGAGAGATTTTCAAGTTTCCTTTCCGTACCTTTCACATTCCTTCCAAATAGATGGTTGACATATTCATATTCATGGATTATATTGCCTCATTTTGTCTCAAGGAAAACATTTCAATATTCACCTATGCACAAGAGTGTTAGAACTTGAGTACTAGCATTTCTCATTGTTATTTGTCATAATTACAAATATAAATTCCTGCAAAGGGCATATAATCAGAATTTTGCTATAGTAAAAAAACACATGAAGTAGGTGGTTTTATAAAGGTGAATTTTTAGTTACCTCAGGGTTTTGAAGGTTGAGATACATGAAATCAAGTGAAACTATGAGAAAGGCTTCTTGGTTATTATTGACATTAATGCATAGAGGAGGAGAAGATGTTGTCAGCAGGAAGTGAATTAGTGATTCAAAATTGCTATTGTTAAATGAGAGTTACCTGGTAAATTTGTAAATTCTTTTTGTTTGTTTGTTTGTTTTTGTTTTTCTATTTTATTTGCCTTTCTTTTTCTTAATCTTTTCTTTTTTTGTTTGTTTTTTTCTTCTCTCTCTCTCTCGCTTTTTTTTTGGTTTGGTAAACATTACCCTTGACTATATGTGCCCCAAATACATTTGATGTCTTTTTTGTTGTTGTTGTTTTTAAGATTTTTTTATTTTATTTTATTTTGTATGAATCAATCTATGAATGTGTGTTTGTAGAAGTATATAACATTGTCTATAGATAACATTAGAAGCTAGAGAAGGGCATTGGAGACCATGAAGCTAGATTTACAGGCAGTTGTGAGCAGCACAATGTGGGTGCGAAATCATGTTTCTAGAAGAACAAGTGCTCATAAACACTGAGCCATATAGTCAGCCTCAATTTGACCCTTAAATGCCTCAGTAGTTTTCATGGGACTACACTGAGAACCAAGTCTCCAATACATGAATACATTATTCCTTTACAGTATTGGGGTCTACTTGTAGACCACAGCTGGGAGAAATTTATTATTTATGTGAAATTCAAATTAACATTTATGTAATTTCTATTTGCTAAATATAAAAACACTAATTCTCGAGCCAGAATACTTGCTTCAAATTGTTACCCTACAATAATTATCTTGTATAAAGTTTCTTTCCTTAACCTTTTGCTGTCAGATTGCTCATGTATACAGTCTGGCTGGTAATAGTATGCACTCCATTGACAGACTGAAGATGTTTCTGCATACATATGACTCAGAAGTAGCAGTAGGACTGGGCGGGCTTGCTATTTTTCAGCTTTTTCTGTGATAATGTTGTGTAATAAACCCTCCAAAATCCACTGACAACAACTCTAACCTTCTTAGTGGTCTATGAATCTATTAAACCTCTTTTCAAATGGATCGGCTAATTTCATATTCTTTAGCAAAATAAAGATATGTAGCTAACTAGCATATCAAGATATAGTTAAATACAAATCTTCAGTGGATGTAACAAGGGCGTGTCTGATGGACACTGCTTACTACAGTTGTTCGGCTATAATTATGGCCTCTTTCTAAACTTTGCAATGCAAAACTAAATAAGCAAGCTCTGTGTTTTAGATTGTTATTTCTGGTCAAGAGGTGATGGAAAACAGGCAAAACAACAACAACATGTGGTGTATTGACCATAAGAAAAAAAAATAGATGGCTATTGTGAGACAGAATGTGTACATACATAGGAAGAAAAATAAGTTAAGCAAGCACAGATGCTGGGAGGAGCTATGCAGTCATGCAGGCAACACCCCTTGCATTCGTTCTTCCATGACATTTGGCAACCTACTGCATAAGACATCCCTAAGGCTCTCTTATTTTCCCTTTCCATTGAAAATTCCTGCAACAGTATCATCAAATCTTCTGGACTATGGAACTATGTACACTCTTCATCTATTCTTGTCTTTTGTAGAAATGCAATAAATGCACAGTTCAGTGACCGTGTTGCCAAACAAACTGTACATTCCATTAATAATAACATATCATCTGGTGTATTATAAGCTTTATAAACAATGAAAGAGATAGCTACTTATTTTTATTCTATTTTATGTTATTATAACAAAATACCTAAGGCTAGGTGACATATATAAAAGAAAGTCATTTGACTCACAATGTTGGAGGTTGAAATTCCAAACACTGACTTCAGTGAGGGTCTCTTATATTAATTCTATCATGGCAGAAGAAGAGAAAGACATCTACAAGGAACAAGGATATGGATGTCTGTACTTTGTAAGGAACCCAGAGTTTGAAACTGCCATTCTTCTGAATAGTAGTGCTCACTGGATTAATTACCTCAAAGTAAGCTCCATTTTATATAGGCTCTGCCTCTCAACAGCTTAGCATTGGGCAGTAAGCTTCTAGGATGTAAGACTTCAGGATACACATTCACAGCATTTCTACACTGTAGTATTTAATCACTCTCCTGTACATGGCTTCAAGCATATAAGCACTTCCCATGTAATGTACTCATAAAAGCTGCCAAGAATAGGCTTGCATGAGACAGGAGAGGAGGAATAGATTGTGGCATAATAATTTTTTACAGTGCTTTGCATTTTGGGATAGCTAAGAGATAAAACTTTTGCCTAGCCTGCATGAAGCACTGAGTTTGATCATTAATACTCAAACAAAAACAGAGAATGAGAAACATGTACACACACACACACACACACACACACACACACACACACACACAGAGAGAGAGAGAGAGAGAGAGAGAGAGAGAGAGAGAG